TATTTTGAATGTGCAATATTTGCATCCAAGGCATTTTGAAGATATAAATAGTAAAGGTATTTCTGAAAAGACCTTGGAAAAACTGGCAAATATAATGAGTGGTAAATTACGTAACGAATTGTATTTAAAGATTTAGTAGCAGAATTTGACGATGATATCGTATGTACAAGTGAGGAGTCATATGAAGAAGATGGAATATTAAAAAATGATAATTCAGTATGATAATAGATGTAACAAGTGTTTAATATGCGTGTATGAAATTCTTAAAATATACACATACAAGTGCATACACTAATTTATTTTTGGCATTATTACAAATTACCTTAAATATAACAAAAATGCCCTTTACTCTCAATTATATAACTTAACAACCCAAAATAATTCTTTCTAATAATATTAAATAAATACCATTGACCATTAACGACGATCCATATTTAACATAATTATCTTTATTTCCAATAAAACCACAACAATCTAACATAAAATATGTAGAAAAATATAATATAATATAATTATCCAATTCTTCATTTCTCAAAGGTCCACAGCTGACATCCAAAGGTCCACAGCTGACATCTCATCCAATATCTCCCAATCTCCAACTACGGGTTTTTCCGAACAATGAAACACACCCCGTGATCCCTATCTCCTCTTCTTCCCCCAAGGAAAACTTAATTTCCCTGTCAGAAAATAACTGACATTTGATGTATTATATTAAATTTATTTCTTCTTTTTTTCAACAGTTACAACATGCCCACCCTTCACAAGCCCAGCGTCCCTCTCTCTGTGGTGTTGTTGTATCGAATCACCTCTTTGAATTGTATCGAATCACCCCTTTGAATTGTATCGAATCACCTCTTTGAATTGTATCGAATCACCTTTTTGAATTGTATCGAGACGCCTTGAAGACGTTCAGGGAATTTGTCGAATCGTCTTCCCTTATGATGATTTATAATATATAATGACCTGTACATTGGGGTATCTGCATTTATAATCTATGCAACATTAATATGGACAATGTAATATCAGCAAAACATAATAATTCATTCATTTTAAGACATTTGGGAAATATGAGCTATAATACACATTATTTGGATATGATTCATGGTAATTAAGAAATAATGATATTACATATAATAATGTAATGTGAACATATTGTCTGTGTGTGAAATGCAATTTCAACACATGTAATTTTCCTTCTGTCATGTAAAAAAAACAAAGCTACATTTATGTAAATATTTCCTAAAATGAGTAGAAAAATCCATCCTTAGGTATTACAAATAATTGCGAAACTCTGCCAAACAAAGATTCTACCTAAAATTACAATATATCCATATACAAATACATTTAATATTTTATATGAAGGAACAAATATAATACGTAGAAAATACAATATTTCCCATCTAGGAATTACTCAGTATCCTAAGAAAAATATACCATTTCTACCTAACTCTGTCATCACAGTTAGCACAAATTCACAAAAGTAGAATGCAGAATAACAACAATTGAGAATATAATGGGCTATATGGTATATATGTAAAAAATTTTTAATATACCTTCACAATATAAAATAATTTGAGTCTTTTCTTTAAAAAATATGTTCATAATTAAATAGTAAAATGTGATGTGCTATAAAATTATTACAAAAATAAAAAAAATGTATTATGCAGCATAAATTTACAAAAAAAATTTACACCAAAAAAAAAAAACTTTCTCCAGTATGCAAACTAAACAATATTCTCACCTCAAGGCATACCCATCAACACGGGCTGACCTTATCTGTAAAAATATTTCCCTTCAATCATTGCATACCATAAAAATAATATAAATTCCTATCCAATTTATATATACACTAAATGCAGACACTAAATCAAAATAACTATCCACATCTAACATTATAGATATTATTCTGACTTCATCATATTTCAATTCCTTCAAATTCTCATTCATAATTAAATATATCATATGTTACCTATACAATATATTAACATTATAAATAATAATTCATAGTTAAATATATCATATGTTACCTATGCAATATATTAACCTTAATTAATAATAAATTATCCCATACATATTCATCCCTATACAAACCCAAAATGCATAATTAAATAATACACACTTTATTACAAAAGTCTATATCCATATATATTTTCATAAATTTCACATATTTAAATATTTAACAATCCTTTCTGTCCTGCTGTTCATGAGATCTTTCAGCTTCCTATGACGGAATACCTATAACACCATTCAATGAGTTTTAAGGCATACCAAATAATGATCAAAATTATATGTACCATATACATCTAGACATAAGATAATATACCAAATATTACTGTCTTAAATTCCTGATCTTATTTCCATATTTCTGCCTAATACTCATTACATACTTTCTATCTTACACCTTTTAAAGCTAAATATAAAAGTATAGAAATTTTTAAACTCAATCCTTAATCTCACTATAGTTTTTTTTTTTAGTACTTGCGTTGTGATTTCACATTAATCCCTAGATAGATCCGATCCTGTCAACGGTAACAATATTACAAGTTATCTTAAATAAAACAAAAATGCCCTTTACTCTCAATTATATAACTTAACAACCCAAAATAATTCTTTCTAATAATATTAAATAAATACCATTGACCTTTAATGACGATCCATATTTAACATAATTATCTTTATTTCCAATAAAAGCACAACAATCTAACATAAAATATGTAGAAAAATATAATATAATATAATTATCCAATTCTTCATTTCTCAAAGGTCCACAGCTGACATCTCATCCAATATCTCCCAATCTCCAACTACGGGTTTTTCCGAACAATGAAACACACCCCGTGATCCCTATCTCCTCTTCTTCCCCCAAGGAAAACTTAATTTCCCTGTCAGAATAACTGACATTTGATGTATTATATTAAATTTATTTCTTCTTTTTTTCAACAGTTACAACAGGCATATGAATACATTTTAACTGTCATTTACTCAGGTTAATTGCGAGAGAACATTTAGTAAATTAAAAATTATAAAAAATTAGGTTGAGAGCTAATATAGGCCAAGAAAAAATAGAAGCATTTTTAATGATGTCAGCTGAACGAGAGCTATTAGCGCAGATTGAACTAGAAGATATTCTTGTTTATTTGGCAAAGGTTCAAAGTTAATTATTTTATATATTGAGTATGTATTATCTTATATTTAACACGTGATATATGATTTCATTTTTTGGTGTAATATCGTTGTAAATCTAATATAAAATATATATGTACAATGAATATTTTTTTAAATGTGTAATGAATAATTTTAGATGTGCAATTATTTTAAATAAAATATTTGATTATTGTGTCATACTATTCTATTTTTATAAAAAATGTAAATTGCGTGAACTTATTTTCAAAAATAAGAGGTAGCCGGGTAAAAGCGGGCTGAAGGCCCGTAAAATAGGGGTATTGGGGGTGAAGCCCCCATTAAAATGAAGTCGCTATAAAAAAAATGTCCATGAGGGCGTAGCGTCGCCAGTCTGCCCTTGTGTAGCCATTCAAATATTTTATATATATAACCGATGATATTGTGCAAATTGTAGAGATAATATATTTTAAAATAATATAATACAATTTAATTTTATTCCACCACCAGATTAACAAATTCTAATTTGAGTGGCATTATTGTTATCATCATCGCCAATTTGAAAACGGAAATCAGGGTATGGATCAGTCCTACCGAGATCTACTTCGATTACATTATACAATTACAGCAGTGATGTTGACCATTCATTAAAATAAAAATTTAAAAAAGATGAAAATTATTTTTAAAAATCTCCGCATGATTTTCATAAACGGCGGCGTTTTAGACATGATCAAAAAATTGGTAGCCGACCAACTACTGGCCAAGGCACAGGTTCCGCCTTTTTGCATTTAAATAAATTTTGGTCGTTATTTAGGAAATTTGATAAAATTTAGTAGTTGTATAGCGAATAGTTTGTTGAACATTGTTGTTGCAGTTGTTCAAAAAATAATTTAAATGACAATATATTATAAAGAATGTCAATCAAATTTTTTTCATTAGTGAATTTTTTTTTATATATCAATCATTCATTATGTTGGTTTTGGTGATTTTTTCATTATTTTGTTCTTATGTATTTTTTTGTTTTATGGAATTTTGAAAAATAAAACGACTATTCTTATTGAAACGGGCATCATTTGGTTTTATACAATTGTTACTAGTTTTAAAATTACCCGATATTCGATTCGATCAATTTAAAATTTGAATATTTTTTTAAAAAATGACAAATAATAAATATTAATTATTAGTACTAATTTTTAATTGCAAATATTAATAATGAAAATTAAAATCACTATGATCAAATATTTTATATTTCTGGCGCTTGCATTATTGCTTTTTTGTAATATTGACTTTTTAAATTTCCTAAAACCAAATCAAATATTTATAAATTGTAAGATTAAGCAATCAGAAGGATAAGATTTTTCTACACCATTATCTATTTTTTACAGACACAAATATGATTACTAAAAATCGCATATCTTTTAGAAAAAGAAACATAAAGAAATCTTTATACCTGTAAGAATGTCCTTTTATTAAATTAATTTTTTAAATAGTTATTTTTATAATAGTTGTATACGTATGAATTTTGCCTTTTTTTTTATTGATATCCAAAATAAATCATTTTTTATAAAAAAAAAATATCAAATTAATATTCGAGAATATTATATTATTTGGTTTTTACAAATAGTAATTTATTTGATTCCATTTATGAATCGAATACTAATATCTCAATATTCGATTCGATTTTCTGTATTATTATAACTATTATTTCATTGTGAAATATCCTTTCTAACTTTAAATATATCATAAATGATACACTGTTTGAAATTACCCCTCACAAAGTTTGAAACATTTTACGAATTAAGATGCCTTGTGTATAGTAATTAGGCTATAATAATTCATAAAACTAAAGAATTAAGATCTTTATTAAATTATGGTTTTTGAATATAATAATAAATATATTTTGTTATAAATAATTTCATGCCATTGAATTTGAATCAGTATTTTGTTCCTCATCCCTCAACTGTAGTATATCTTCAGGGTTTAATCTGCCAACTCTTCGATCGGCATTTCGTATTGGGAGTTCGGCTGTGGCTTTTTCAATATCATTCATACTTGGTGTCAGCAGATATTGGTAAAGATTTGTAATACGTCCAGACCTATCCATTTTATTCCCCTCGATGTTTTGCTGCTTTCTTATCAACATTAGCTCGCTTCCATCCCTTATTTCTGTACTAATCAATAAATAAAATACAAATTTAAAAGTTTATTAAATAAACTTTAAGAAATATTTTACCCTGTTTCCCTAATGTCAAACTATTGTTCAAAACCAAATTTTTACCACCAGAAAGTTGGTCTAAACCCTTATAATTTTTAACATCTGGGATTTTGAGCAACTTATATTTAGCTGTTATGCTGCTCTTTTCACACTCGTCATCCTCCATGTCAGCTCTTATATAACCCATGGCGCGAAGTGCATTAACTTTGAGGTCTTCGGTTGTGCAACTAGGAGAAATAAATATCACTTGGCAAACTCCCACTGCATTGTAAATTTTGACATTCATAGAGTGTAAATTTCGAAAGTAAAAAAACATTAATAAACTTTAAAAAAAATATGTAATATTACAACGTAGTATCTTAAATTTCTGTATAATTAAACAATGCATTACAACTAATGTGTAAAATACGTTTAAAATTGCATTAATATTACATTTGAACTCGATAGAATAATATTTACACTTATTTAGTTGCGTCGTTAGGAAATAAAAATTTATAAAGTTCTTTTTCCGTTTAAAAATTATAAGTTAAGTTAGGTTATTTAAATATTTTTGAAAATAACATGATATATCCCAGTAAAATTTAGAGAAAAAAAGTATATATTTTAATTAATATTTACTGAGCGATTTTCAAATTTTAAAAATATGATTTGAGCATAATTGTACTCTGTGAATTTCAGATAATTTTCACTTTTTGTGTATTTTTATAAATTATATGAAAAATTTATTATAAAAATTAATTGAAAGAAGTGTAATTCCAGAGTAATACAAAATTGTTTGAAATGGAAAATATTGTCACTCTGTACATGCTGAAACGAGTTTTTGGTCAAATTAGATTTTTCAAATTTGAAGATTGTTTTTAGTAATAATATTGAGAGATTTCGAATACCGATTTCATTTCACAATATGACATACATAATTTAAATTTTAAAAATTGATCAAAAACAGTTACGTAATCAGTATCCATTTTTTTAATTAAATTATTTTATATTTTAGTTACCAGGGAGACTAGCCTCAGCGTCATTGGAATAGGGATCTTTAGAGGACACCATGTGATAGTAAAAATAACTTGCATAGATTTTGTTGTGATATTCAAATGAGTTAAAGAAAAATGAATAATAAAGATTTATTCAGATTAGATAAAGTTCAAGATTATTTAAGTTTGTTGTTTAAACACTGTAAATGCGTGTTTGATATGAAAAAAAGAAAGATATATATGTAATTTTTTATATAATTAGGGAGATCTTCTTTCATTTTTTTGGAAGAACGAACTTTTTTATTTTCACAAATAATTTTCTTATAATAATTTTATTTTTCTTTTAATTTTTAATTTTTCTCTTATAATTTTTTACTTTTATTTGATAATTAGTATTTATAGTTTATGATTATGAATAAAATTTTAAAATCTTAAAATATTTTCTCAACTACAACTCCTCAACTACAACAAATTTAATTCCAATTTAACGTTACACGTGAAAATCAAAATTTTAGACGTTAAAAGCAGGGATATATAATATGCTTGAAAAATATGAATATTTGGTAAGAGTATAATTTAAAATTATTAATTATACCAGGGCTGTAAACCCTCCTTCTAAAAAAAAGGGTTCGGGTTTGAGTTCAGTTATTACTGGAATGGATACACTAATATAAAAAAATATTCCACGAAAAATGATTTTCACAAAAAATGTTTTCAATATTGAAAACAAAAAACAATAATGTTTTAAATATTTAATTATTTTTAAAAATATTTTACCTGTTATTTTTTATGCAATTTTAATAAATAAGAATAAAAGAAAAAAATAATATAAAATAAATGATAATTTTCTTAAAAATTCTTGAACCCTGAATTCTACATTTAAAAAATTAACCATGATTCAGGGTTTTGGTTCAATAAAATATCAGGGTTCAAAGGGTTCTGGTTCAGGGTCCGGATTCGGGTTCACAGCCCTGAATTATAATACCTTGTTGATTAATAGCTTTCAATTATATTAAACAGTGATATTTTATCTTTTTCTATCTCTTTTTATTCTCATTTTTATGACATTTTTTAGAATCTTTCACTTGCTAAATCTTTATTTTCATTTATTTATATATATTTTTGCAAATCCAAATTCTCTTATGCTAAAATAACATTTAAGTATTTGGATTATTTTTATCTATATTACTAATGAACGGCTAAATGATTTAGTAAAATAAATAAATGCATTTTATCTTCTAAGATTTTAAATGATAAAAAATATAATGCTAAATTATGACACCACCCGAAAAAATAATTTTTGTTTGCTTAACAAAATAAAATCCTTTATTCGCTTCATTTTCGCCTTTCCTGAGGAAATTATCTGAACTTTATGTTATAAACTCATTAATATCTAGAAACTTGAGATCTACTAACAACCCAATCCCTCTCTCAAATCCTCTAACTACAGCCGTGAGAGTTACACTAGACCCAATGGACTTGTCAGCACACTTTCTTAGGTCGTTCAGATCATTTCTGTGAGCTACATCCTGGGAGCAAAAAATACAAAAAAAAACAATAAATACAATTATAAGATCTATCTTATATTCCGCAACTTCGATGGATCATTTGGACCTCAAGTCCTAAATTATTCAAAATAATAAGACTTACAACAAAATAATTGTAAATTAAACTGTCGTTTTATCCATGGTTCAAGTTACAAACATAAAAACATTGTAACCCTCCGCCCCACTCTCCTTGTAAAGCGAATTAGGTTTTTTTTTAAATAGTTTTTTATATTTATTATTATAGTACATTTTTATGTAGTATTTATTATTTATTTTTAATAGTTATAATAGTTATAATAGGCACTAAACATTTTGAAAAATTATAAAACGATAATTAAAAGTGGAAATTTTACTGCTTAATTTTTTTTAAGGAAAGGTATACTTAAAAGTTGTATGCCAGAAAACGATAAATAAATTGAACATTAAATACCTGACGACAATCTATCATTATTTTAAATGATAAAATTTATAGGACCAGGATTTGAGGTGAAGAGTTAAATTTCGAATTTAATGTATATTATATACCAAAGAATTATAAATTTTAGATAACCTATTGTTAAAATAATAAATGCAATTACATTCGATTTTATTCTTAAAAATCAATAATATTGTGATTATAGTTTATTTTATTGGAGGATATTCGTTTATAAATATGAATTCTTTTCGATAAGGTGATTAGATCCTCTCTATTAAAATATATTTTATAATCCATTAGCGTAATATTTATTGGATAATAAAGTATAACTTATTGTTGTTTTATTAATATCCATAACATCATGCCGTGCTTATGCTTATTTGCTTCTTATATAATTGAAAAATGGAAGATTTAAAATTTAAACACTAAGTAATTACTCAAATTTAAACCCCCACCCTCGCAAGATTCTTTTTTAATATTTAAAAATTTAATTAGTTTTAAGAAATCATAATTGAAAAAAAATTTAAGTATTTCACAAACTAAATATGATGGAGAATTAATATGTAAAGGTTTACTCCATCTCCAAATTGATGTTTTAAAAATAAATATATTTAATTTTTATTTTTCTTCACTACCTGTGAGTCTGATGCAGCTTATAATTAATGCTATAAATTTAGCATGTACCTAAAAGAAATTGAATCTTTATTATGCGATAAAATGAGTAAATGTAATTCTGTAAAATTAATATTATTATGTATGAATGATCGCGGCAATTGATAATGTTTTGTTATATATTTTAGTTGGCGCCATTTTTTTTTTAAAAATAGGATTTTATAAAATTATAAAATTTTTGAATTATATGCATAAATTTTTGTAGATTTTTATTTAAAAATAATTTAAATTCAAGGTTTTTGCTATTTTATAAAAAAAGTATATATATTATTTGATAAAATAAACTGATCAGAAAAAATTAAACTAAAAGATTCGTTTCAAAATTTAAGAGGAAATTGAATTATCTAGTGCTAAAGACGGCGACTAATAAAAACTTCTTTGGGAGCTGCAAACTTTTTGTAGAAAATTTGCTGTTTAAAATATTAATGAGTCAATATTATTTATTTGTAGAATATTTCAATCGCTGTTCTGTTCCTATGAAGTCGGCACTTATATATTGTACATTAATAAATATGCAATATATTTTATACATTTTTATATTTAAAAATAATCCTATTTGCAGATTTCTAACTTTTTAGAAGTGAGGTAGTGTAAGACAACCTATGTATGAATGATAATTAGTTAAAATCATTTTCATCCATAAACTTGGAGTTTACATTGGGATTAAAATATATGATTAAATAATTTTTATATATTTGATGGGGTACAGCGGTTTTTCTAGATAGGATCAAAAGAGTGTTCATCATTCCTAAATTATTTTGAGCAAGCCTAAAATACTTTCTATTAAATTATATTTAAAAAGTTGATTTTTTTCTAGGACTCCATGATGACATAAAACAATCTATTTCGCAAATTTAATTATGAAATATTCCATTTTATCATTTTGACATATTTTTTTGTAGCAATTTATGAAAGACAAGGTAGCTCAAAAAGTGTTATATTTCGCCAACTTGAAAATGATACCCAATATTTTTCCATTTATTTGAGAAAAACTTTGAGGCGGATCATTTAAAAGAAGGGAATTAACTTTTGCACGCCCAAATGATTACTAAACAATTATAAATTTCGTCTGGTTCATGTTTAGGCTCAAATAAAAATAATGGTTTCGTAAAAATAAAAATATCGGTTTGGTTTGAGCCTTTAAAAAACTGATTCAAAATATTTTCACATACAAGTTTATTAGAATTATGTAAAAAGAAAATTTTTATTTTATTGCTATTCTCTAAAAAATATTATTGAGCTGAATATAATTAAAACATTTTCATGATTCTCTTCTGTCAAATTTTAGCTATGAGGAAGAAAAATAAATTTTATGGCACACTTTTATATGCTAACTTGGGTTGCTACCGTCAAATAGCAATATGCTTATATCTAAACATAATTACTGATTTATTAGTCAGAATTGATGATTAATCATCTTTAAAAGAGTTAAATATCAAAAGATTCAACCCGATTCACGAGCATTTTTTAGAGGTTCGGTTCAGGTGGATGGATTTTTAACGTTTCAGATTAGGTTTAGATTCAGTGAATAATAAAGGTTCGGTTTGATTCCTTGCTACTAATTAATATTTATGATCCAACCAGCTTATTAAACCAATGGCTTCTACTAGGAAAGGATAGGGGATAAGACGCAGGATCATCATTAAAATTTCAAGAGAGTAGGGGTTAAGATGCAGGATCATCATTAAAATTTCAAGGTTGTAGGGTTACAGACGCAGGAAGTTTAGTAAAGTTTCAAAAGGTAAATTTTTTTTAGAATATTGAAACCCTTTCGTCCATATGGGAGTAATTTTGACATTTGTAATTTTAAATATTTACACTAATTTATCCACAATGAAATATGGAATACATTTTATAAATATACTACTATTTTTGAAATTTAATCTATAATGATCGCTAGAAGATAATATAACTTGTTTATGCGATATATATCTTCCTTATTTCCAAGACGTTTTTAATGATCTTATTTCTATGCAATTGTTATTATATATCTTGATTTTGCAATCAGTATTGTTAGTAAAAACTAATTTCGGAGACGGGTGGGGGGAGGGCAACAATTTTCAAGATGTAGGGGAAATTTTAGGAGTAAAATTGTTAGTAGCTTAGGAGGATATAGAAGCTCCTGGATTTAGCTACCCTCCTTCCCGCACAAACATTTCCCTAAATAAATGTTCTAAATATATATCACTCTGCCTCAACAAAAAACAGTCACCTTCAATTTCTCATTACACAATTTTAGAAATTAAAAACACACGAAAGACTTATTATTTTTTAAAAAATTAACTTTTTGGTAATTATAGTGCAATCTTTTATTTGTATAGAAAAATTAAAATATGTATCCTTTAGCCATATCAGAATTATCATAAAATTTGTGTTTCAATGAAAAATGACAGCCACATAAATTTATAAATTTAAAAACTTTGGTTTGCTTGAATGATCTGAATTATTTTAACTGGAAAACTCTGCATAATTGCCCATATATTTTCTATTTGTTTAAAGTCACGATCTGGTGTAGACTATTAATGCCTTTATTCTATTATCTAATTTAACCATTTTTTGAGGATTTTGATTAATAACATGGGGTTTCCTTTTTAAACGCGTATTCTTTGCAGAAAAGTATATTCGTTGAAAGGTAAACTACTAAAAGGGTATTTTTTTTCGAAGTTTATGTTATAACAATGCCATAAGTAAACCTATTTTCCTAGTCATATCCCAGATAATTATATTTTTAAGACTTTTTTTTTAACCCATTTAATTCAACTCATTTTTCTTTTCCACAAGAGATTATATTACTGGTTATTGTAATTTCTATCAAATCAAATTTAATCACTAAATAGTAAATATTCGTTAATTCTGTTTTTCGGAAGCGAATATTTATTTGCCCTAATAATGCTTCCCCCTCTTTTGAAGGCTATTTTTTTAACCTATAAAATGTTGAATTCAGATGAAATAATAATTAGAATGTAACCTTATATAACCGATAACCCATTTATGAATTCTTCTATTGTAAATAAATTTTGAGATACCTTTCTGGGGGCCGAATTAACTTATTTGAGATATCTCCGAGTCTTATATGCTTTTTATAAAACTATTAATTTAACTAGAAACCGATCATATAAGAGTTTTTCTCAATTTTAATCGTAACTCTCCAGATGAGATTTTTATTTGCGATTCCCTTTCGTATGTATCAATAGCTAATAAGAATAAATGCCTTCCAACGCCTTCCATGAAGAAACGAGTAGAATGAATAAATTAAGAAAAAATTAGAATTAAGTCATATTATAATAGCAAATAATTTTTAAAAACCATTAAACTAAGGATAGATTTGCTAGAAATATCATTTTGCACCATTGTATTTAATTTGGTAATTTTTTTAATTGAGTCATATCCCACCCTTGTCAAAATTCTACTAATGGTAGAAGAAAAATAAATGTTTCGGGAGTTTTTGCATCTAAAATTATTGGTATCACGTCAATTCGGCGCGGAAAATTCGGCTCACGACAATTCGGCACGGCGTCAATTCGGCGCATCGTCAATTCAGCGCAGCGACAACTCGGCGCAACGTCAATTCAGCGCGGCGACAACTCGGCATAACGTCAATTCGGCGCGGCGTCAATTCGGCGCATCGTCAATTCAGCGCGGCGACAATTCGGCCAACGTCAATTCGGCGCGGCGATAATTCGGCGCAACGTCAATTCAGCGCAACGTCAATTCGGCGCGGCGTCAATTCGGCGCGTATCTAATACAGTTGCAATTTATTATAAATTTATTAGTATAAAAAAAAGGATGATTAAATAGAAATGATTTTGAATGTTAGTCATATTAATTATTTCTTCGTATTTTTTTTTACAAAAATCTCAATTTTATTTACTAAATGTGTAATATCAATAAAAAAAATTAACAACCAATATTTATACCGATTTCCTTGCTGGACCAATTTACCACATTATAAGGTAGGGGAGACTGGGGTTAGTCGGACCGATTTTAACAAAATTTAGCTCCTGATTTTTTTAGATAATATAAAAAATAATATATGATTAGATACCTCCTAAAACTATACTCTATAAAGGTACCTTATAAAAATTTTAAGGATATAATCATTTTTTTTAAATTTTACTTTTTGAAAAAGTAAAAATAATATCCAAAAAGCCCCAATAGGGGGGTGAGGCAAATTCAAGGGCCTTCCTAATCATTGGTTTTTTTAGCCATAATAAATTGAAATGCATTTTTATTTATTAATAATGATACGTATAGAATAATTTTATTGTTTTATTGTTAAAAATATCATAATACTTATAAATTGAATTATATATAAAAATTGAAACTTAATTTAGGTTAATTTAATAAACATTTTGGACATAAAGGAGATATTATGATTTCTTAGCATAAATCCTAAATACCAATCATAAACAGCCATGAAATTGCCTTTGTGTGTTAATTCGTTTTTGATTATTTTATAATAGAAAAAATTAGTTAAACATAATTTATATTTAAAATGATTAATAGAATTATTTTAAGGATTTTTAATAAATCTAAAAAATGAATCAGTCTTAATTTAAATTTTATTGGATCAACATTAGTGGTGTTAAACATCCGATTTGGGTCGATTAAGATTTTAGCCATAATAACATGTAAGATTAGAGATAGAAGTCCAAACTTTTCTTACATTTAGCGCAAAATCTCGCTTACATAATATTGGCTACTAATCAAAAAAGGGGAGACTGGGGTTAGATACCGGGGCTTGGCAAACCACTTAATCTCATCTTAAAATTAAATACACCAGAAGGTTAAAGTTTTATCATAATATAGTTTTTATTAGTTTACGTCTATAGACAAAAAATCTTTTGAAATAATTATTAAAAATTTTATTTAAGAAATAAAATATTGATGAAGTTTTTATAATTTGGGAAAGTTATATGAGTATTTATTATATCCAGAAATTTAGAGTTAGCAGGGCTTGCTAAACCATACACGTCTATTAAGGCAGTTAATAATGAAATAAATACAAAATGTTTATTAAATTAACCAAAATTAAGTTTCAATTTTTATATATAACTTGCCTTAATTTACCCGCTATTGGGGCTTGTTGGACAAAATTGTTCTTTTACAAAAAGTAAAATTCAAAAAAATGATTATATTCTTAAAATTTTTTATAAGGAACCTTTATAGAGTATAGTTTTAGGTATCTAATCATATATTTTTTTATATTATCTAAAAAACCAGGAGCTATAGCCAATTTTATAAAAATCGGTCCGACTAAACCCAGTCTCCCCTACCTTATAATGTGATAAATTGATCCAGCAAGGAAATCGGTATAAATATTAGTTGTTAATTTTTTTTATTGATATTACACATGTAGTAAATAAAATTGAGATTTTTGTAAAAAAAATACGAAGAAATAATTAATATGACCAACATTCAAAATCATTTCTATTTAATCATCCTTTTTTTTATACTAATAAATTTATAATAAATTGCAACTGTATTAGATACGAGCCGAATTGACGTTGAGCTGAATTGACGTTGCGCTGAATTGACGTTGCGTCGAGTTGTCGCCGCGCTGAATTGAAGTTGCGCCGAATTGTCGCCGCGCCGAATTGACGTTGCGCCGAGTTGTTGCCGCGCTGAATTGACGATGCGCCGAATTGACGCCGCGCCGAGTTTTCTGCGCCGAATTGTCGTGCGCCGAATTTTCCGCGCCGAATTGACGTGGAACCAAAATTATTATCCCCCTTATATTTTTTTTTTAATTTTAAAAAATATTGATGCACGAAAAAATTAAGGTATCGTTTTTTTGAGGAAGAATAGTGTTTAAAAAGTTGATCAAATAGGGCTTGTAATTCTAAAATTCCTAACTTGCCATGCTTTAAATCCCATAAGGTGCAAAAAGTATCATGTGCACTTTATTAAAATATAATTTTATTGAAAAAATAATCTTTATATACAATTTTATATCTTCGAATTAATTTCCCCTAGGCTCTGTCATCTTTATCATCGTATACATACCTACTAAAGACCCTTATAATGAGTCTACATGCCGACATGGATATTACGATCATAACTATTACCAAAAAGCAGGCCTTTATCATATGTAATCTGTATTGTCTGACAGACCCAGGGAAGGCCGAATTGTGGAATATTCTTTTAACGCCTTCTTTACCCGCTTCTGCTTCTCTTTCCTTGTTGGATTTGTCTTCATTGACATTTTCAGAGACTAAAATTCTGGTTTTGTTTTCATTTTTATCTACATACAAAAGTGATTCTAAATCGGACGCTATTGTAGAATATTGTTCATCTGAATTATTTTCTATATTGTTGATGGTGAAATAGTTTTCTGAATGAGGATATATGGTTGTTTTTTGTGATTTCGTTTTATAAATATTTGAATTTCGTAATATGTCGGGAATTATACCATTAACATCGTAAAGGTCAAATACCTGAAATTTTTCTGGTGCATTGTTCGAAGGATTCGAAAAGTGTTGACAAATTCGTGTGGTCGTATTTTGTGAATCTAAATGCCAAGAACAATTTCCTTCAAATCCATTGTATTTGCGAGAATCATTAGATAACATTATGTGAGATCTTTTCATTCTTCGTAAATGTGCGTAGGTGAATAGAGAGTGTGAGGTAACATTTTTCACAATATAGATAATTATGATCAAAGGTAATATATTATGAATCATGCATTTTATAATAAAGTTCAAAAAATTTCGGGCGTTACCCATTATCGGAACATGATTGACTTAACGCGATCTTTTATAATAGAATTTGGAATGAATATGAGGAACGGATTTTGGGAGCTATTAATTCTGATCATTTCCTACTTTTTTTATATTTTTCTATATGGTATAAAAGAATAATAATATATTGAAAATTTGTTTGATGATAATGACAATTATAATATCTGATAATTTAATTTTTTTGAATCATGAGGCTAACAGAAGCTATAAAATCATATTTGCTTTCATTGGAGTCCTTTTTTAAAAGTTAAAAAAAATTCTTTTTTAGAATGATACTTTTTAAATTAAAGAGACAAAAACAAGAGAGAAAATAAAATGATATTAATATTTATACTACTTATATACTCACTATACTGGGTCGATATTTTTAAAAATTAATATTAAAAAGATGATGAATAAAAATATATAAAACAGATTAAAAAATAATATTTAGTAAATTATCAAATATAATAATTTTCTAAAAAAATTAATATTATTTTAATTTTATATTCTTCCTAAATTAATGTAGATCCGGTCTCTCCAACTGTGAATAAAGAAAGCATAGTATATTTATATATTTTTTTAGTATAAATGCATTATACAGAATAAAGCCACCCCCCCCCCCCCTTTTAAAAACTAAAAGTAAAAATAATGTGTCTAATCAATTGCTGCAATTATTTTTGAACATTTACAAGTTACCATTTCATTTTTTTCAAATTTTATTTTACATTTAATCAATGTTATACCGATTTTTAGTTATATTTTTTCAATTAAAATTTACTAAACAATTTTTTTATGTTGAAAATAACGTATTAGAATCATGTCAGCCATAATAATGAAATGAGTTACTTTAAAAAAAATAACAAATATCACACCATACTACATAAAGATTATCTTTTTGCTTATGTGAAAGATTACAAATGTCAAATTTTATAATTTGCACGTTTATTTTTTATTATTTATAGTACTATTTCATTGCTTAAAATCAATTAGTATATAAGGTCATATCATGATATGGAATTCATGCGCATTCGGTTACTCTCAATTTTAAAAATTCACTGAGGGCAGTTTTTAAATTTAAAAAATATTGATTTGACCGGAAATGTAATTCATGATGTATATGGTATAATCCCAATATGATTTTTAGACTATTTCAGCATAAATTTATAAAATAATTAGGTATTCTATATATTGCTAGAATACTTTTCAGATTTTTCATGGCAAAATATATTAAATTTAGAGGGTACTATATATACTGGAATATATTTTCAGTTAAATCAGGTTTTTTTACTGTAAAAATCGCCCATAACAAACAATTTAAAAACTGGACTCCATAAACCCCAAAGATATCATATAATTGTAATCATCAAATCTTTTGTAACTTCTTATTTTTTTTCCGATCCATTTCTAAAATAAAACTTAGGCCCGATGGAACTAGAAAAATTCTAAGTCGGTGATCAGTTAAATAAAAAGTTTAAAAATTGTTTGAGCCCAGTTGAATTCAAGAATAAGTCATAGAAAGCTTTGCTATAAATGAACCAATGATAATATTGTAATAACTTCTAAGGTTCCCCTAACCCTAATCCTAAAGGTAAAAATCTAAATAAAAAGGCAATTTTAGGAAATATTCTCCTCTAACCATCTAAATTAATCATAAAAAAAATGTTAACATATATAGCAGAACACCTTTAAGATGGAGGCCAAACAGCTTCACTCTTAAATGGAGGTTTTAAAAAAAATTTTTCAAAATGGTATTACTGATTAAATTAGCTATTTTTACATAACCTACTTTTGCTTGCTACCGGTGCCACATAAATTGATTACATTTAATTTGGAGTAATATTAATTATTATAAGAGAAAAATACTTTTACAGAAATAATAAATTTTCAATACATAAATAAAAATATAAAAATGGATGAAAAATCGATAACATGTATACTATATTACTATATTAAAATCTATTAAATTTTATAAAAGTTCTCCTCTTGACAAAAAATTATACTATACTATATATATCTATTAAAGAGTTTGACAACTTGCAGGACCGAGAGCCATCATCTCGTAAAAATGGGATGAGCTTAAATTTAAATTACACAAACAAAGGTTTTTAATTTTCAAATGGACACAAAGTTATTTATATATTTTAATTAAGGTTAATAAATCACATTAAAAACAATAAATTTTTATGAATGAATAGATATTGAGTAGTTGGGAATTTGACATCTTGATACTTATTTTTAAAGGCGAATCAGTTTTGTGCTTCTTGTCAAGTATAAAAAAAGTATTTAAAAAAAATATATTAGCCTCGCCACTAGTGGGCCTTGATATTCGTAACCTAATTCCAAAATCTAAACATATATACTATTTCCATTATATATAAAAAAAACATTTACACCACCTATTCAATAATGTGCTGAAATATTAAACTTTTCTCTTTTTATCCCAAAAATACTTATCGAATTTAAAAATGAAATGTATCTAGGGCCTATGCTAGGTACTATATCAAACATGCGGCAAAGATTTTACAGCCAAGTGCATCAGAGCCTTGTTTAGGGGAGGGCATACTGGGCAGTCCAGTTTTTAAAATTTTAGGAAACGCCAAATTTTACGTCGACCAAGTCGTAAAAACAATTTTAGAATTCTTTTTTTTTCAAATAACCTCCTTCTCAACCCTTCATATTAATAATATTACACTAATTAAATAATTATAATATTAATAAAGATATTTAAATTTTAAATATTAAAATATAAAAATATAAATAAGTTTATTGCATTTTCAAGGTGTTGCTCGATCAAACGATAATGTTAATACACAAATGCTTATAAGAGTTTAAAGTTTTAGATTCCTCTTCGATGCTTTGTTACACCTGAAGTTGATTTACTATCATTGCAATCTGTTACAAGCTTTGCTTCCAGATTAATATCATCGGAAAGTGGACATAAATCTAATGATAGAATTTTAAAAACCCCGATTTATATATATAATGCAGATATACCATAAACATTCGTGTACAAATTTTAAGCAGCGTTATCCGTGCTACTAGTCTAGCTAAAACGCTTTCAAATATATTATTTGTGCTAATAATTTTGCTAATAATTCCAATCACAGTGACTTTTGGTGAGGCAAGCTTTAATTAATCAAAAAATATTCGAGATCCTGCATTGCATGAACTCAGGTCAGTTTGTTGCCCTATCTCTAATTTTGATCGAAAATTTTATTGATGTTTCCTTAGATTACGAAGTTATTTATTTTGCTTTGTAAACAGAAAAGCAAAGATATAATTTTTATAGATATAATAATATTATAGTTAATAATTTTTCATCATTATACATTTTGGTTGTAAATAAATACCAAATGCCATTAAAATTAATAGCATATTTTGCAATTACAAACATTTGTAAAACAACTATTTAAGTGATAAGATAACTCAAAGTAAGGTTTTAATATAAAACGTAGTTTTCACTTTTTCTTTTAAATTAAATAAAATATTATTCATTTAGTCAGTTTGAATTTTTAATGGAACAACCCAAAATATTTTTGCAACAAACCGCCATAAATCTAAGCACAGCCCTGATCTGCGCTAACAGTTAAAAGCACTTCGTTATTTTTCAAAATGATACAAAATAATATTTATTATATCAGATTATGTATAAAGGAAACTCGGTAACTCACTGAATCACAGAGAAAATTTTTCGTGTATTATTTTAGATAATGAAGCAATTTATTTGAATGAAGAAGAATTTTAAACAATTATTAATGAAAATAAATTCAAAATATAATTTAAGGATTAAACCATAATAATAAATATCGGTTTACGTTCAGATAAAAATATCGGTTCATGGTCATCAGGCTCGGTTCATAAAAAATAATATTGAATCGGGTTGAACCTTTATAACCCGTTTCAAACTTTTTCGCAAACAAGTTAAGTAGAATTTTGTAAAGAATGAATTTTTTTAAATATTATCACTATTTTATTCTGTAAAAGATAATAACGAACGGTATACAATTAAAATAGTTCAAAGATTCTCTGATGTCTACATATATATATCTATTAAGAGAGAATAAATTTTATGACTGAGAACACTTCTATATTCTAACTTGGGGCGAGACCGTCAAATAGATAGATACAAAAAATATCTAAAGATAATTAAGGGAGACCGGGATACATTGAGCATAGAGGAACATTAGGTCACTCCAATTAAAATTTGAGCTATTATTTTATAAGACTGCAAATTTTAACCTAACTTAGATAATTACGTCATACATAATTGGCTAAATACTATTTGAAAAATATTTAGTATTTTAGTTTTTTGAGAAGAAAGTAATAAAAATATTTAGTATTTTAGTTTTTTGAGAAGAAAGTAATAAAAATAATTGTAAACTTTATCGTTTACATTTATAAATAAAATTTCGAAATCTTAATAAATAAATTTTAACAAAGTTAAAACTATATTTTTTTAATCTGACAATTCAGAATCAATAAACAGGAATTAATATGATTCTGAATGCTATTTATAAAATTAGTGTCGGTCATGGTTGGTCATAGTATAGTTGGCACACGCCATTTTAGCTCATTTTACTATATAGTTATACGAAATTACAATAAAAAGGAGAGGAACATCTTCTGTACAGAAGATTATGGAAAAGTCTTAAATTTATATCCGAACTCAGACATAAATTTATCATTACTTACAGGTAAGATTATTTGATAAGTCACTGAAACTCTGGGAAATTTTTAATATTATTTTTTTTTAATTTTTTTTTTTAATATTTTTTTTAAATACTTTTCATAAAATAATAATAGGCCAATTTGCGGATTTAATATTATTGAAATTTAAAATGTAATTATAATTATTTTTAATATAATTATATTGGATTTAAACTATTAATTATGAGATAAAAGAAAATACAACTATAAAATATTCCTTTATTATTGAAATATAATAATTTAATTTACATAAGAAAATGAATCTCACCAATTAATAAAGTTTATATCAAAAATTTTTACTTAAACATTTGTACTTTACCTTGGCATTTGCAGTTTACCTAGGCATAGTTTAGTCAAACCCGTCCTAACTTAGTAGCATCCAAAAATAGCACACGTCTTTATAAAATTTTTAAATAATATACTCTATTTTTAATTTAAAATTAAAAAATTGTGAATATTTTCACAAAAAATATTTTTAATGTAAAATTAAAGAATTGTTAACATTTTTAAAAGAAAAAAATATGAAATTCTTAAAACTTTTGAGTAACGAAACTTTGAATTATTATTATATCAAAAAATTTCCACCCATATCCACACAATCGCATATTTATTATTTTTAAATAAAAAAAATATTTAAAAATATAATATTAAAAATTTGTCTGAGTTTCGGTGAGTTACCTATTATTTATATAATTAAATATAATTTTTTAGGCATTCCAAAATCAATATTTATTTGTTATGTATTACAATATTATCAATAAAATCAAATTGTGTCATAGTTTCCAGTCTTACTGGAATACCGATTTTTAATTTATTTATTTAGACCTGTATTTAATGAGTGAACCAACAATAACATATGTGTTTCCCACGTACCTAAAGTGTGATAATCAATTTATTAAATAAATATATAATATTCAAATAACCTATACTTTTAGGATAAAGAAGATGTTTTACTTATTCAGATTAGTCTAATATTATTGAATTTATTCAGGTTTTAACGAAAAATGTCCCAACCATCCCCGGACTCCCCTTAACTTTTAAAAATATTTTCAAAAGATGATATTTTTGAGGTTAATGATGCTTACTACCAAGTGAATGTATGGAAATATTCTAAATACCAACCTAATTTGCTAAATACCGACCAAAATTTATTAAAATTTAATAAGATCCTTATTATTTAATATATTATAATGGAATCACGTGGTCGAGTCCGGCCTCCTATATATCATCCCCCCAAGGATGGAACCACCAAGTTAGAATAAGAAAAAAACATAATCGTTACCGGGATTCGAACCCGTGACCATGGGATCATTAGGCGAAGCTCTTGCCGACTAGGCCATAGAGACTTTCAATAAATCACGATTTTTTAAATATATATTATAAATATATTTGGTAGTGTCTATCCAAATGAAAAATAAATAAAATTCAAATTTGATAGGTAGTACCTTAAGGTAGTAAGCATCATTAACCTATTTTTGACCACGAATATCTGATTAGTTTTTTTTGCATCAAAAGCTTAAGATAAACCCTGCTAGTTTCATTTTTATAAAAATATTTTAACCACCTTCTATGGATAGATGAATGATCATAATTTCAACAATCTTCGAGGAACTCTCTTAATCTGAGGATATCTAAAAACCGGACCTTAACGTCTATAAGAATCAGACATTCTTTTTAAATTTCTAATTCTAAGAACCGAAACTGGTTCTAACGAAGATACAACTAATATCGAGTATATTGTTTATAATTTGTGTAATTCATTTTAGATGAGGTATTTTATTTAAAGTTCATTTTTATAATTTTTTTATGGCTTATTAAAAGGAAATCCTCAGAGCTAGGTCACATGATCAAATCTAAAAACCGAAAGCAGAAGAGCATATTTAATAAATATATATTAAGAACAGATCAGAAGCACTTTCAGGCTTTAAATTCTGAGGATTATATCTATTTTAGAGTAAGTTTAGAATAAGAATTCCTACTTTATAAAATATTATAAAGTTTTATTTAGTGAAATTTTTGTAAATTTAAATTTCCTTTTATCAGAATTACATACCTGATTTTATATATAGTAGATAACAATTATTATTTTTTAATAATTATTAATGTAACCTTGAACAATTCTTTTTTTATATCCATAATTACACCGATTATTCTATCAAACATGTCCTTTTAATTCTTCAGGTATAATACGTAAATATAAAATGTGAAAACGAAAGAAAAAAAACAGACTCAATTTTGAAGTAATCCAATTATTTTTACTTTGGGGAAATTTTATAGCATTGTCAAAAATTTGAGATTTTTGGTTAATGTGTATGATGATGTGCAAAAATTAGTTAGAAAATGATTTTTGGTTAATGTGTATGATGATGTGCAAAAATTAGTTAGAAAATATTTTTCATATCAAAAAAATAAATTTTAATAACTTGATTTGGTAAGAAAATCCAAAGGAAAACTTACAATCTGGATTGAAATTTTATTCATTGAGAATTAGAGTGCCAATTTTTTAAAAACCTTTTAAGCAGTTTAAATACAGTTAAGGTTGGGCTTTCTTCAATAATCTAAATATTTTAAAATGTTTATTGCAAATAGAATAATTCTATATTTAACCGGATTTAGTTGACTTCCATTTTAAGCTTGAAAATATTTATGACCTTTTGTTTAAGGCAGAAATCCGAATTTTAATTCACATTAAATCGTCAAAAATTTTGTATATATTAACTAATGGTGTAAACTTAATTAGTGTTTATTAAAATATTAAACCTTAATATGAATAATGTGTGAGATAACTGTTTGTTTTAAAAGGGAGCATAATCGTATCCAGGATTTTCCGAGGGGGAGGGGGGGGGGGGTATTAGATATGTTTTCTCCCATATATTCTTTTGGAGGTCTTTAGATCTACTTATTGTAGGCCTCATAATAACAATAATTTTGGGTTTTCACTTATAAAAATGCTTTTTTTCTAAAAATTTAAAAAATTTTACTAGCTTAAAATAATATTTACGGAAACAGGCGAATTTGCGATGCCCTCCCTCCCCTCACAGCTATGTGCCTGAAGAGGAGGTTTGTTTAATCCAATCTTATTACTTTTATAATTATCTTACTGAATGAAGGGTTACTAAATAAACTTAACATTTTAATTTTAAAGCATTATAAACGGGATAAAAACGAATCTGTTGTTGAATGTCTTGAAAAATAACTAGTTATAAGTTGCATCCTTATTTATATCCAAAAATAACTAATTACATTACAACTTAATTTACAAATTATTTATATAACTTATCAACTTTATTATACAAAATAATTAATTTACAAATTATTTATATAACTTATCAGCTTTATTATACAAAATGATTTTTTGATTAAAATTTTAATCAGAAGAATTTAAATAGAGATTATTGCACCAAATATAATAAGCTCTTTTTGTTTTATTTGGTAGGATAAGGCAGGTCACGCAAAAAGTTTTTGTGGAACCCGTATAGCATCGAAAGGTCTGTTTATTTTACCAAGGGAAAATCTGCGTTTAAATGTCAAAATTAAAATATATTTATTGTGAAACGATGGCCTGAATTTAACCCTAGAACATTAGGATTGCAAGACATATGACAACTGAATCAACTTTATTGTAATATTACTATTTTTTATAATATAATAATATTCCGACAGTAGGTTAAACGGTGGAACACGTTATAAATTGGATCCTTATAAGCGGATTATAAAGAATAATATTACAGAAATTATAGATCAATGATTAGAGGAAATATTTTCCTTGAATACTCATTTAAACATTTTTAGTAAATAACATGTCTTCGAATAACGTTGAAGCATTTAAGGAAACGGTTTTAGGGATCAAACTCCCCTCATTGCGATATTTTTCTTCTTCTAATTTTCCCCCTATTAAACTTCTATACATGTCCTCTTTAATACTTAAACCAAAAAATGGAAAATTCTTATCCAGAAATAATGGACCTTATAATCCAGGATATGTTACGAAATATGAATCAAAATTTTTATGTTGTTTAACAGTATGCTAAGTTATTATTTACTTTTCATGTGTAATTATTTAAAAAAATTTTTTAAAAGATGCTATATCAATATTGAAAATTACTAACATGATTGATTGTAAGACAATAAATAAATAAAAAAAATAAATCTTTAGACGGGATTTAGATAATCTAAAAATGGGCTTGAAGTGCTTTACAGAATTAATATTATGAAATCCCTTATATATTTCTTATTAGAATAATTTATATATTTCTTATTAGAATAATTTATATATTAAAACAATATCTCTAAATAACTGCTATTTTTACAAAAATATATATATATTAGTTGGTTACTTAATTAGGAATCTCTCTTAAAGGATAGCAAAACAAAGAAAAGTTTATTTGGTATTTAATTTTTTAAACAAAAATAATGATACAAATTATAGCAGATGTTTTCTGGTTTAAAATAATTTTAAAAAATTAACGCTTATAAATATAAAGTTTATTCAGCAGTAAATTTGAACTTAACTATTTATTTTTAGTTATCATTACTAAAAAAAACATATTTGAATTTTTAAAATAGTTTTTTATTTCTAAATTTGATGCACGTCTAATTTTAATTTTTTTAAAATAATAATTTATCATAAATATTTTTGATTCTCAAGCTCCAACAATTTTTTGTCTGGATTCCTCTGGAATTCATTAAGGAATGGTCTGTATTTCCCTCCATCTCATTATCTCCTATCTTGTATCAAAGCAGTCTTTTTCATCAGGATTAAATTCTTCTTATTGCTTAAAACTTATTTTTTTAAATTTTTACACGTTACCCTTCATATTGTTACCACGAATTCGCGGAGAATTATAAAAAATATGCTGTATTATTATATTCTCGGCCTCGAAATAGCGCTAATGTGATCGAGAACCCCTCATGCATGACTTAGCACGAATTCGTAGCGAAATATCCTGTTATAAACTGTCAATAATAATATTTTGGCAAATACATTATTTAACCATTAGATGTCAATCAAAGGTTAAGATATTGATTGGACATAATGATATTAGGATGATAATTATTAATAATAAAATAATTTTAATTATAATAATAGAGACTTTGTGATGTTTAAAGTAATTTTGTTTCTAATTTATTGAGAAATTAGCATTATGATAAATAAAATGAGTAATAAGATAATGGCGCATGTTGACCTCAGGATTTGAATTCTGAATAATTGCAAATATCGTTCAAATAAAAAAATTTGGACCTAATTCTGGGACATAGTTCATAGCAGAGGATTTATAGAGGGATATACACAATGCAAATATGACTATACATTTTGTTAATTTTCATAAGAATTCTCCTATGTCACTTTTTAAGAATGATATTTATAAAATGTTCAATAAGAAATTTACTGAAGCTGATTTAAAGAATGACTATATAGTAGCAGGTTTATTTTTCATATTCTATATATCATTAACATTTGTTATTTGTAATAAAAAAAGAATAGTAAAGAGTCGAGTAAGATAGTTTTGCCTATTAATCACTTAAACAAGCAAAATATTACTATGTCAGTGCAGCCGAACAACACCGGGGATATATCCGAGGATATAAAAAATATTAATTTTTAAAGAATAGTAAAGAGTCGAGTAAGATAGTTTTGCCTATTAATCACATAAACAAGCAAAATATTACTATGTCAGTGCAGCCGAACAACACCGGGAATATATCCGAGGATATAAAAAATATTAATTTTTAAAGAATTAAAGGAATTCTATGGGGATAAACAAATGCAACATTCCAGTGGGAATGAGGAAGCCAGTACAGTGAAGTATATCTTAATTATAAAAATACGTTGGTATCGAAAGAGATAACTGAGAGTTTATTAATTTTGAAAGAAAAAAAATCCTGTTTCTATAATTGAGGAACCCATAGTAGTTAAAAAAATCAATAATTCAAGTGAAATTAACCAAATGAAAAATGATGAAAGCGTAAATTTTATTTTACGAGAAATAAAAGAAATTAAAGAGATTTAAATAAATATTCCCAGTGAGATATATATTAAAAAATAAAAGTAATAATATTAGTAATTATTTTACTTATTTTTATTTTTCTAGAAATCGAAATTAATGAAAATTTTACTGCGCAAACAAGTGATAAAGATAATACGATTTGTCATCGATGCGGCTTCTTAATTCATATAAAAGTAAGTTGCCTCATGAAAAAAATTAATTTTAAGAACGGTTCTCCGTAGAGGCCACCAGTGTTGATAAACCTGGTGGTTTAATATATATATATATCCTATTAAATCTAAATGAAATAAATATGTATAATATAGATAGTGCCCGAATTCACTTCAGATGTGTACAAATAGGTTAATCGCGTTGAATTGTGGCGAGAAAATCATATGATACAGAGACCATATATTCATAATAATAAATTTTTTTAATACATGTAGTGTAAAAAATCCTTTGGATATATTTAATAAAATAGACAATTGTATTAGGAATGATGGTTGTAAATCGAATTTCAACTCGAATAAAAAGAATTGCAGGGTTGGAAATTCTTATTGTCATTTTGATGAGATAAAAAATTTTAAATTGACTAATAATCTGAATAGAAAGATGTAATAAAAAAGATGGGAAATATCCATCATAGATTTATAATAAAAAGTTTAGTGATATTCAGAGGCCTCTAAGAATTTGGGCATGAATATTATTTATATTGAAAGTGAAAATTCAAATATAATAAATATAATTCAGCCGATTAGAATGCATAAAATTGACTGAAAGAGAAGTGTTCATGCCCTCGTGTAATCGTGAAGATAGACAAAATATTGAAATGTTATTTGATATCGGTGCAAGCATTTCGATAATGTCTAGGGAAAATCATTATAAATATTAGCCTGAGGGCACTCGTAATAGAATCTAAGTGTGTTAGCCAATTTGATGGGAATGAAATTGCGGTTTATGTAAAACCATATTGGGAATGGTTCTATTCTTGATTTATGTGTGGTAGAAAAAAATGTTGAACTATTATGGGGTGGGATTGGATTACCAAACTTGATCCTCCTAATAATTAGTGGGGTATTTTTATAATAAGTAGTGATTTGGCAGTAGATAATGCTGAACTATAAATAATTAAGGATAGCATCCGAAGTAGAATTCGTGAAATAAAGATGACTGATTTATTGAGAGAGGAAGTAAATCCCCTCATTAATTCTGATATTTGTGAAACTTCCGATGAATTAATAGTTGAGCTGTGTAGTTCTAAAAATATTATTGAAATTAATGAAAATCAAATTGTTGATTTTAAAGTTAATGAATTAAATAAAGTTCGTGAAGCTATACCTTAATGAAAAAAATCTATACCTTAATGAAAAAATATGGTATAATTTTTGAAGACACTTTGGGATGTCTCAATGATTATCAAGTTGGATGTGAAATTGAAAGAGGGATTTTTAGCCATTTTTTAGCATGTAGAGAGTTCCTTTCAAGTGGAAGAAGGGAATTGAAGAAGAGTTAGACCGTTGGGTCAAAGATGGTATTATTATGTCAGTGAAATATATTGAATAGGCTACACCATTGGTTCTTGTGAAAAAATCAAATGGAAATTTAAGGTTATGTGCCGACTTCCGTGTCACATTAAACCAGTGGGTTGTTGAATTTGAATATCCATTGTCTAGAATTGAGGAAATTTTAGACAACTTTAAAGGTGAAAAATACTGCCTACATGTATACGTGAAATTCGACATTTTTGTGCTTACAAATAAATCATGTGTTGGCTCACCTCCTAACTCTAATGGCCAGGATAAGAGAATAGTAGCCATAGCGAAAAATTGGATTAAAAAGGCCAAACAAGAAGAAGGTGATGTTTGGATGGCCAATTTATATTATAATAATTCCAGGAACCGTCAAGGTTTAACGTCTGTTGAATTATTTTTGGACTAGAGTGCCCTTAAATTTTAAACCAAAAGGCAGTACTATTATATCACCATGTGAAAGAATAAACATAAGATTTCCAGTGGAACAAATCATATGTCGATAACAAGAATAAAAAATGGGAAAAAAGGTAATATAATAGAAAATGTGGATACGAAATTGAATCGCATAGCGTTCGAGGACGAAACCACTGGGATTCGTCACAATGATCATATTAAGAGACGTGAATAATAATAAGTGTGTAAATATTATTAAATATAAAAAAACCAATATATCTATAAATATAAAAAAACCAATATATCTATAAATATAGGGAATATATCCGGTATCTGAATTGGTTTGTGACATCTAAGTTTATCTAAAAATTTATGCACAAATAAGTGGTATAAACCTATGTGACAATAGGGGATCTTTAAAAGGGGTTGATATGTGTGTACATTTATTTTAATTATTCATTTTAATTAACGGTGGTTTTTTTAATTGTGCGATGTTTGAGTGTGGATTAACCGTGTAAAGGTATTTATTGTAAATGATAATAATAAGGATAAAATTGTTAATATGACTACGAGGATAAATTTATTTGGCAAGTGGGACTTACATTGAAAGTATAATAAAAATTTTGTTTTTTTTCTCAGTGAGAGAACTTAAAAGTGTAATGTGATTTGGTATTTAAATTATTATAAATCGATGAGATCTTGTTTTACCATGTGTTACACGACATCATTTTATATACCCCTTTGCATATCTTATTTTAAAATTGTTTATTTTGGTTTAAAAAAAATGTGTGTTGTATATTTGTAAGAATAATATATTTACTTTAAAAATTTTATTTTATGTACATATCCCCTCGAAATTAAATGTCCTTAAAAATAAAATAATACATACCACATGGATTGTATATTTTCCTTCAAAAAATATATTTGTCTACTCAAAAGTATATATTGTGAATTGTATTATCTGATGTATTCATTAATTTACATGATTAATAAAGTTATTCTTATGTTAAAAATAATTTGTTTGAATAGGGGGTGTGGCATAAACTCTTTCGCAAATAAATATGATTTGTTGTAACACATTTTCATAATGTGAAAAAACATTCTTGTATAGTTAACTAACTTTCCATAATTATTGTAAAAACATTTTGATAAAATTTTTGATATAATTTTTTTTTAATTTTTTAAAAATTTTTTTTTTTAATAATAAGAGTTTTTAAACTTTAATGAAGATTTACGTCAAAGTTATATATCGAATATAATTTTTTTATGTTTGGGACCCAAGTTTAAGTGGGAAAATGAGAATAAAAATTTTCTAAGATTTTTGGAATAATTTTTTTTAAAATGCATTATAAATTTTTTTAAATTTAAAGTATTATTTACAATATATTAATGTTACTTTTAGTTATCTAAAAAATGGAAATCAGGATAAGAAATTTGATAATTTCTTAATAAACATAAGTGAAAGAAAATTCGAATTTAGGGTTTTCAGA